GTGAAGAATTCTTGGACAAGTGGCCTGATGCCAGAGATGATTTCAACTGCCGCCAGGAATTCAAATCATCCAGCCATAGTCTACCAGCTCGCTACTCAGAGATTCTGACGAAGAAGATGTGGCGCACTGTCAGTGAGGATTGGCTTCGAACCTCATACGGGGCATGGCAATGGATGATTCAATACTGCGGGCAAAGGCTTGCTGACCAAGGTGTTCGCCTGGAGGCCAGGGAAGTGACGAAAATGACCAAAATGATGTGTAGCAAATGTTTTTGTGTCAGTTGAATTACCCGTCAGGATGGTCTTCTGAACCGCCTTGCTTTTCAAGGGCAAGTGATTGAAGTCAATTTTGTCTATCTACTCATTTTGGGCAATTTGAAGTGGCAAGCCCTTGCTTGGCCGTTGAAGCTTGTGGACGCTGCTGATGATGATTATCGCATGATGCGATGGGTTTTGGATTCGTCGTCAAGTTGTCAATGGCTGCAATGCTCTCTGAACATGCCAGCTTTTCAAACAAAGCTAGTCTGGAGCAATGAGTTTGGCATCCACTGGCAACAGGTTGGGCCTCCTGAAACATTTGCGCAGAATTGCTTGCGGCGCTCCAATGGCCTGACATTCACAGATCTTTGCTTGATGGGGAGGCATCTTTTTGGCTCCGAAATCAAAGAGAAGTCTAGGAAGGACATCCTTTTGAAGCTGGCGTTGCATTTCGGAGATGACTTTGCAGAGCTGGTCTTGGAGTGCGACTCTAAGACGACAAAGAAGTCATCATCTGATCCAGATCAAGCAGCTTTGGTAAAAGCTGTGTTTGACCACTTGGACGCGGATGAGCAGAAGGAGTTTCGCTCTGTCAAGGAGAATGTCTACAGGGAGGAGAAAACTCAGAAGCAATTGAAGTGGCGCAAATTGCTCAACGAAAAAATGGAGGAGCAAGCAGCAACTTGGATGATTAAAATGTTTAATGTTGCTGGTCTGGCTAGTTTGTTCCAGCTGCATTTCAATTTTTTCATTTTTTTTCCAAGACAGGCATGTTATTGCATCTACGTTTTTTCCACTTCCAGGAAAAAGCCAAGAAGAAGGCTGCCAAAGGCAAAGGCAAATCCAAAGCCAAAGGGAAGGTGAAGGGAAGAAGCAAAGGCAAAGGAAGAAGTGGCCGAGGCTCAGGAAAAGGGGCTGCAAGCAGTAGTGGAAGAAAAAGGAAGAGGGAAGCTGATGACGAGCGACCAGGCAAGGAAGCAAGCGATGCTGTGAAGATGGAAGACGAAGAGGATTTGGAGGAAGAAGAAGCTCAAGTCAATTTTGTCAATTCAGGCAATTGCGTCAATTCAGATGTGGAGGACCCACTGCCAAATCCAGGTGAAGCAAACGAAACTGAACGTGCTGAAGCAGCAGCTGAACTTGCTGAGGAAGCAGCTCCTCCTGCTGAACTTGCCGAAGAAGCAGCTCCTGCTGCTGAAGTTGCTGAAGGAGCTTCTCCGTCTGAAGTTGCTGAAGGAGCTCCTCCTGCTGAACTTGCTGAAGCAGCAGCTCCTCCTGCTGAACTTGCCGAAGAAGCAGCTCCTGCTGCTGAAGTTGCTGAAGGAGCTTCTCCGTCTGAAGTTGCTGAAGGAGCTCCTCCTGCTGAACTTGCTGAAGCAGCAGCTCCTGCTGCTGAACTTGCTGAAGCAGCAGCTCCTGCTGCTGAACTTGCACCCCCGGCTCAACCGGCTGAGCCAGCTCGGCCAGCGCCTGTGCCTGGCAGAGATGTCGGGCCTCGAGTGCACTCAACACCTGCCCTCCTCAGAAGCATTGAGCCCAACAGTTGGTTCAAGTTGAGGCTTGACAAGAATGCGCACAGGTTTCAAGTCGAGATGGACAAGAATAGAACGGTCCAACATGAGCTGTGGGATTCAACCCAGAGACAAATGTATTATTCCAGAAGTTTCAAAGCAACAGGTGACTGGAAAACCGCACTTCAAGAAGTGCACACTTGGATGTGGGAAAAGTTCGTCTTGGCTGGGTTGGAATTGGGGCCTGGAATCCGAGATCAAATTCCAGGAGAAGTCCCAGATGAAGTTTTTGAAGGCCTCAAGGATGAGATGCGTGCGCTGCCACCTCCTAGGAATTATAACAGGAGAAAGTAGAAGAGCGCTGGGATGACAAAGTCATCGCCTTAGGGCCTTGGTAAGACGCTCTGGTTGAAGCAAGTCCTTCACCTGATGCACTTGCAAAATCGCAAGAAGATGCTCTGTTTAAAAGGGAATCAAATAATCCTGTCACATGTTGGGCTGCTTGTGTTTATTGTGAATTGACTCAATTGATTGATTTGTGTGGTATTACAGCCTGAGGGTTGCACCTGGATGGTATTTTTTCAATGCTTTGTCAAATGTTGGGGCCTGCTTGTCATGTGTCATTGTGAATTGACTCAATTGACTTGAACCAGATTGATTTGTGTAGTGGCCAGTGGTATTGAAGCTTGAAGTTTGTGCCGGGATGGTCTTTCAATGCCAATGCAGGCTGCCAGAATCATCATCAGGCCAAGGACTCAGGAAGCCTTTACTTTTATACGCAGGGTCAGAAGCCTTGGACTGGTATTGTTGTCAGTGAAGAAACCAAACAAAAGTGTGGACTGGATTGATTAATTCTTTTACCGCAGGTTTTTTGGCCTATGAGCACATTTGTTGGTTTTGCCATTTTGGTCATTTGTGTCAATTTATTCATCATGGACCAGCAAGCTGGCCTCGCGTTTCTTCCGGTGATGGTGCTGTCCACTGTGACAGCCAGTGCCAGCCTTCAAGGCCCAAGTGCAGCTTCAGAAGATGACGATCAAGAGAAATGGCTGGATGACAAGCTCCAACAGATTTCTTCGTTAGATTTCTATGATTTCTTGGCCTTCAGCAAATTCAATAGGCGCTGATGCTGTTTTTGTTCTTGGAAAATTGAGACAACATGCATTGCAAATTGAAATCATTCTTTGATGATCAATGAATAACCTCGAAGTCCATTTTGTTAATTGCCCTGCAGGCGTGTCGACTGGCCAGAAGGACTGCATCATGTCAAGTCCACATGTCAAGACTTTCTTGATTTTGACCAAGAGAATGGCGGCAGGGCCTCGAAAGTGTGGCCTTCATTTTTGTGTGAAGCATATCCTTTTTTGCGCGGCGCAACATCGTGCTTGGAGATGATGGTGCTGGTTGCTGAAAGGTTTCTTTTCAATTTGGTCAATTTCAATGAATTGGATCAATTGGAATTTGTTGAGTTTTGTGCTGGCCGAGCCCATCTCAGTCGAGAGATGCTGCGTCAAGGATTTCACCAAGGAGCTTCTGTGGACATTCTTTTTCATCCCCACCATGACATGTTGAGTTCCAAGGGGCTGAGGACTTGGTTTGACATGGTAGTGGCTTCTCGGCGAAAGTCGTTACACTGGTTTGCTACCAGATGCTCGAGCTTCGTCCCGCTCTGTATCTCTCAAAGCATGAGATATGAGGAGAATTCATTCTACGGGGATAGAAGCAGGCCATGGGTGGAGCAGGGCAACCTTCAACAGGAAGTAACTGCAATGATGATGTTCTTCAGTTTCCTCTTGGATTGCATTCCGGTGTTGGAGCAACCCACAGGGAGTGTGCTTCCAAAACTACCATCCCTTCGTAATGTTTTGTGGTTCTTCGACTTCAAGAAGACAGTGACCTACATGGGAAGCTTTGCTGGCCCAACAAGCAAGCCTCTCCAGATCTGGCATCCGTCTTCAGGGCCTGGCTCCCTATTTGCAGCCATCGCCAGGCCAAGGCCAGATGGCTTGGACAATTTGGCTTCCAGTGGCCAGAGCTGGGATGGTAGCCACACTTACACTGGCAATAAGGAGATGCTCATCCAAAGCGAGCACTACACGCCAGAGTTTGGCGCTTGTGTCGCCCAAATCTACGAGCAGATTCGAGCTTCGTGAAAACTTCACAACGCTCAATTTGCTCAGCGTTGTCCATTCAAAAGTGTCTTGAATGCGACAAGAGTACTATAGCCCAAGGGTTCTTTTGTGCTGACTCACCTGAGTGGTGCGTCCCTCTGTCAACTTTGACCGTCTCTGTGGGGTCAAGAGGCAACATGGCATTTGCTCCAGCAAAAAAAATGCGCAATCAGTGACAGAGCACTGCAAGTTCAGCGCTTGCCATCTCATGTGCTTCAGTCAATTAGCTCAATTGAGTCATTAGCCCTTTGGCTTTTTGAAATACTTCAAATATGTGTACTGAGGTTGGAATTGTTCTGCTCCGCTACCAAGCTTGCTCCGCTACCAAGAGTTCAATGCAGGCATGCTTGACTTCTTTGACATTTATTAATATCACTTCCCATTCGCATTCCCAAAGCAAGACTCAAGAACCAGATCAGGTCTGGATGACGCTCTAGGCCTGCCTACTGTTTGTTGCTGGTCCTGCTTGCATTTTTTCAAAAGTAATTCTTAATAACTTGCTTGCAGGCTCGGCGAGAAGTGGCAATTGGATCAATTGACTTCAGCTGATTGTGGCACTTGAAACAATTGACTGACTGACTAATTGAGTTCAGCTTCTCATCTTCATTCTTTTAATTTTATTTTTTAAAATTTTTATTTTTTTAAAATTTTTGACATTTTTTAAAAATTTTTGACAGAATTGACCGGTTCAATTGACAAAATTGACACAAGTCACACACATGATCGAAGCAATGACATGATTTAATTCACGCAGGTGAGGTCTACTAAGAAGACTCTTCACAATAATAACACAACCGCAGGTAAACGTTCAATCAACGTTTTACCATATTTTAGATTTTATCTTTTTGAAAATATTTTGTTTTTTTTAATATTTTGTAAAAAAAAATGAAACCACATTTGTTTGCACAACGTTCTGGACAACAAATTAGTCTACCAAAATTCAGATTAGCCTACCTAAATTTCAGAAATGCCTATGTCATTTTCAAATCACCTAGGCATTTCTGAGATCAGGTAGGCATTCCTGAAAATCATGAACGGGCAAACCCCTACAAACTAATACCCTACGATCTGGGATGCATTCTTAAGTTAGTGAAATACCATGTTTGGATCTTCATAATGCGTTCTCCTCCATATTGCGAAGTCGCATGCTCCCGCCATTCAACTCGTAGGTGAAGGTGCCATGAAGAATGCATATCATAAATGGCGAAATCACTTGGACGCGGTGCTGCATCCGGAATCAAATGTGCAGCATTGTCACCGATCTGTGCGTGGTGAGCATCAGCACTGTGATTTCGTGGTTGCGAGCAAGTTGGCTCATAATTGGAATTACAGACTGTCGGGATCAACACGGCCTCCGTGGACAGCGGTTCCACAACAGCTGCATGTTTGTCAAGATCCAATGTCCAAGGCTTGTCATGCCAGGTACCAAGCTGCTCATGTGTCAAAATTGTTGATGACAAAGTGTCACTCTCACGACCATACCACACCTCGACATGAGATGAAAAGGTCACAGGCCGCAAAATTTGATGGTGTCGAGCACGAGGACGTAGATCAGCATAGAGACTTTTGGACCCATCCAAAAGCTGGGAACAAGCATCAAATCCGTGGACACTGATGCACTGATCAATCGCCCTTTCCGTGGCGAACCATGGCGCAGTGAAGTCTGACTCGTCCAAGATGCTATGCGTCCACTGCGAAGTGCACATAGCAATCAACTCCGCTGGGGGTAGGCAGGCCTCATATCTGTCTACTTGCCCCCCCTGCCAAAAGGCTGCAAGCTTCGTGCCCCAAAGGCAGGCTTGTCGCCTGATGCACCATCTCCCTGATCGATTCTGGCTTTTTTGGGCACCGAACCGTCGATGATTTCTTCTTGCCTGGCTCTGATCTCGTCGAAGGTTCTCACCATGGATCTCATATCGTCCTGAATGCTGGGCGTCACATCGGCCATGAGCTCTTCCTCCGACGGTTCGGCGAGATCTGTGGCCACGATGTCCGAGGCACTCACTGCCTCTTTGGATTTCTCCATGGTGTCCTTCGCACTCTGATACTTTTCCAAGGCTTCCTGAATTGCCGCTGCATGCGCAGCGTCCTTGGTTTCGAAGTCCTCGGTGTGTTTGTTCCATCGTTGAACTGCCTCGGCGATGAACTTCGCCCACGAATTGTGTAGATTTTGCCGTGCCTTTCGCGCCAGCAGCAATTGATCTCGTGCGTGGCCCAATTTGGCTGCTGCACTCTGCAACTGAATAGTTGGGTCCACGACCACAAGCTTCTGCGCATTGGCAAGGGCTCGCTGCACATCGGTGGTCAGCGGCTGATCCATCTGTTTCACCGCCGATGCCAGCTCCTTCAATTGCATCTCCGCTGCACTCGGTTTGGAAGCCGCAGCAGTAGAATCTGGTGCATGATCTTGAGATCCACCCCATTCTGGTTCGGCAGGTGGAACGATGCGCGCTTTCCCTTGTTTGTTGTCGTTCTTCTTCTGTGGTCGTGCTGGAGACTTCTTGGGGACTCGCCTGGGAGATTTGGGCGTGCTGCTGGGACCATTCCATGGTCCCTGATAATAGCTGCCTCCATCTTGCTGTCCCCAATGTCCAGAGTAGGTCCATGTAGAACCTTGTCGACGACGAGGCGATTTGGTTGATCTGGGCGATCTGGGGGTTTGAGGGCAGCATTCTGTCCAATGACTGCCACAAAAACCGCAATTCGAAAACGTTCCTTTGACATCCTTCTGACACCAAGCGCAATGCCATGGTTGTCCACGAGTCGCCATGGTTGCTGCAGTCAGGGCAAAGGAAATCTGCTGAAGATGGATCGGATCGAAAGAGTGATGGCTTCGTAGGGTCTGATAGATCCACTGCAACGTTGTCAGGGATGCAACCGTATACCGCTTGCGAATCTGCCACCACAAAAGTCGAGCGCGAGCTCTCTGTCGCCTTGTTCGCCTTCTCCACGCAGAAGAAGATGCCGTACTGATAGATAATGAAAATCCAAAGCAGGAACACAAAAACGGTCATACACAAACACCTTGTGCAAGAACAGAATGTGCTACTTAACCTGCAAAAAGGATGCTAGCCCGAACGCAAAGAAGCCCACAAGGAATCAAATCAACAAATACACTCGATATACTTGAGGACAATGTCAACTCAAGAGGAGGTGCAAGTTGAAACAAACCAAAGGCCAATTTAACGGCAGCTGTGGTATGATGTCCTGGGCAAACGTAGGGCTCGAACAGAAGGCAATGCCGGAAGTATCGCCGGATCGCCCGCGGGTGCGTCGCAAACAAACCCGCTAAGTTCCAAGCTGACAGGGGGACGGGTTCCCTTGAGCCAAAATGGCTACGGTTTATAGTGGATTTACCAATAAAGAAAGGTGATGTTCCATAGTTATGTTAATTTACCAGAGGGTAACTGGAAGAATTCACCTGAAACGATTCACAATATCCAATTCATCATATACCCCTTCATATTATTGATAATCTTAAGATAGTGTTATCCACTAGCCCGGCGCCCTCCCAGTTGTAAGTTGGTTTATGAGCCCCACTACCCTCTGGTAAACTAACATAACTATGGAAAATCACCATGTTTAATGGGAAAATCAACTATTTCTATGGCCATTTACAATAGCTATGTTTGTTTACCAGAGGGTAACTATATAGTTACTTACATCCCCGACCAACCCTTGGCAAAGTGACCAACTTAGCTGTCTTGGGGTACCTTGTAGTCCCATCACCTGTTCATATCAACCCCATGGTATTGTCCCAGTCATGTTATGTATGTTTTTACCCTCTGGTAATTTGTTACATAGCTATTGAAAATGGCCATTTATAATTGATTTATCTATGAAAAGTGGAGATTTTCCATAGCTATGCTAGTTTACCAGAGGGTATCTGCTACATGTTTAATGTGAACAGGGGATATCCCCATACCAACCAGTTGGGGGGGCAAATTAAGTATTGGTAGTAATATCAATATCTCATTAGCTACATCCCAATGATATC